GGGTCTTCTCGGCGAGAAGAACACCACTCAACGAACAGGTTCCACTTCAATGCGTAGGCGTGTCTCGTAGACGGTGTTCTCGCCGAAGTGATGGTGTCGACTACCTCTTTCAGTGGGACCGCCATCCTGCTCTTGAATGTATTCAAGCAGTTCAACACCGACTGAGCACGTTCCTCCATGAGGCGTGCTATCTGTCCGACTGAGTCCAACTCCATTCCAAGAAAAGAGATCCTCTGCGTCGGGGAGAGTTTGCTCTTTTCCCAGTTGACCCAAAGGCCCAACAGGCTGAGGTGTGAAAGTACCAAATCCCTGTGTTCGCACAACTGATCCTGAGACTGAGCGAGTATGAGCCAATCGTCGAGGTAGTTGAGAATGTGAATGCCCTGTTCTCTCATGGGAACAAGGGCTGCCTCCGTAACTTTCCTGAAGACACGGGGCGACAGGGACAGCCCGAAGGGCAGGACCTTGTACTGGTATGCCCGCCCCTCGAACGCAAACCGCAGAAATGGCCTGTGGCGCGGAAGGATAGAAACATGGAAGTACGCGTCCCTCAGGTCGATCGCTGCGAACCAGTCTTGGGGACGGATACACCTGAAGATGCATTTCTGCGTGATCATCTTGAACGGGAGCCTGTGAAGGGCCCGGTTCAAGACGCGCAGACCCAAGATCGGTCTCAACCCACCGCCTTTCTTGGGTACAATGAAGTAAGGGCTGTAAAACCCCAACCTCATATCGGCTGGAGGAACCGGCTCTACCGCGTCCTTCGCCAGTAGGACTGCGATCTCTGCACGCAAGACAGGGGCATCTGCTGCTTTCACTAATGTAAAGTGGATGCCCCTGAACTTGGGAGGGCGCTGGGCGAACTGAATCGCATAGCCGAGCCTGACAGTTCGAAGGAGCCATCAAGACGGGCTGGATAGCTCTAGCCAGGCTCCCAGACACCGCGTAAGTGTCATCAACAGAACTACAGGCATATCCGCAGTGGGGCAGCACGGAAGAACGCAGGGACCCGGCCCGAGGCGGGGTCTGGGTGTGTGTAACACTGACCTGCGTTTGAGCAAAGGGTGCGTGGGTAGTCCGTTGGTTCGTCCTCCCGAACCGCCCACTGCTGCTCACTGGCGAGAGAGGAGGGTGAGTGTGATACGGCTCTGGATCGTTCACAACCCCCCATCCCCTCAGGGGACCCAGAGGTGGAAGAAATTGCCCTTTTGTCGAGTATTTGGGTACCACTGACCACGAGGTCAGTGGCG